AGACCAGTAATAAAGGGATTGGTGGTCTAGAGACCAGTAATAAAGAGTTTGGTGGTCTAGAGACCAGTAATAAAGAGTTTGGTGGTCTAGAGACTAGTGATAAAGGGATTGGTGGTCTAGAGACCAGTAATAAAGAGTTTGGTGGTCTAGAGACCAGTAATAAAGAGTTTGGTGGTCTAGAGACTAGTGATAAAGGGATTGGTGGTCTAGAGACTAGTGATAAAGGGTTTGGTGGTGTAGGGACTAGTGATAAAGGGTTTGGTGGTCTAGAGACCGGTGATAAAGAGCTTGGTGGTCTAGAGACTAGTGATAAAGAGTTTGGTGGTATAGACCAACTAGTGATAAATGGTTTGGTGGTCTAGACACTGCATCATTTCTTGAACCTCCTGTTACTGCTGCTATTCAAAATTCTTCATTTATCATTTTTAACGAACTTGAGCGTCGGATTTCGTATTTAGAGCCAGTGCTTTGATTACATCTCTATAATCTTCCACGAAAGGGGATGTTTTTATCGATACAAACCACTGTCCTTCCCTCGTTATAATAACCGAGGAAGTGGGCAGAGAATACGTCTAAGCCTAGTGACGTGTTTTAGTTCAACTATACTTAGTGACTGTGACGCCAGATTTTTAAGTTCATTAACCCGCTATACTGGAATCATATCTCTTAACTTCACATAGAAGGCTAAGGAAACTATTGCTCATTAATTAAACATCTTAACGAACAATTTCAACTGATGGGAAAAGTGTGGGTGCTGACAGTGAAATAAATTACGCTACAATGATCGTGCCCTGCTAAAATGTGGTATTAAAGGGGAAAGATACTCATGGGCCCCCCACAGAAATATTTTCGAGAGAGAGCAAAACATATGTAGGGGATCAGGTTTTACAGTGTAAGTCAACAGACTAAAATAAAGTGTGTTATATCTGCTTAAACGCAAACACAAATTTAGTTTTAATAAAAATTACTAAAGATATTTAGTTTAACTACGGTGTTAAGTTTACATCATAATACGTACAGTTTTTTGTGAAATGTAGGGGAGCAATGCTTCTTCCTGCGGGCGCCAGTGAAGACACTTGTTATATTCATGTGGATGTTTATGTTTACGTGATGTTAAATTGATGTTTATGTTCAAGTGGATGTTGAATGTATGTTTATGTTCACGTAATGTTGAAATGGATGTTTGTTACATACTTATGTTGTTGAGGTATGTTTGTTATATTCATGTAATGAAACCCAGAATGTTTAAGACTTGATAGAATTCAACAGCTGGTTATATTCACGTAATCAAACCCAGAATGTTTAAGACTTGATAGAATTTAACAGGTGGTTATATTCACGTAATCAAACCCAGAATGTTTAAGACTTGATATAATTCATCAGGTGGTTATATACACGTAATCGAACCCAGAATGTTTAAGACTTGATATAATTCAACAGGTGGTTATATACACGTAATCGAACCCAGAATGTTTAAGACTTGATATAATTCAACAGGTGGTTATATACACGCCATCAAACCCAGAATGTTTAAGACTTGATATAATTCATCAGGTGGTTATATACACGTAATCGAACCCAGAATGTTCAAGACTTGATATAATTCAACAGGTGGTTATATACATGTAATCAAACTCTTAATGCTTAAGATTTGATAGAACTCAACAGGTGGTTATATACACGTAATAAAACTCAATATGTTTAAAATTTGATATAATTCAACAGGTGGTTATATATATGTAATAAAACACAGAATGTTTAGGAGTTGATAGAATTCAACAGGTGGTTTTATACACGTAATCAAACCCAGAATGTTTAAAACTTGATAGAATTCAACAGGTGGTTACATACACGTAATCAAACCCAGAATGTTTAAGATTTTATAGAATTCAACAGGTGGTTATATACACGTAATCGAACCCAGAATGTTTAAGATTTTATAGAATTCAACAGGTGGTTACATACACGTAATCAAACCCAGAATGTTTAAGATTTTATAGAATTCAACAGGTGGTTATATACACGTAATCGAACCCAGAATGTTTAAAACTTGATAGAATTCAACAGGTGGTTACATACACGTAATCAAACCCAGAATTTTTAAAACTTGATAGAATTCAACAGGTGGTTACATACACGTAATCAAACCCAGAATTTTTAAGACTTGATAGAATTCAACAGGTGGTTTTATACACGTAATCAAACCCAGAATGTTTAAGACTTGATAGAATTCAACAGGTGGTTATATACACTTAATCAAACCCAGAATGTTTAAGACTTGATAGAATTCAACAGGTGGTTATACTTTTAAACATTCTGGGTTTTATCACATGTATAAAACCACCTGTTGGATTCTATCAAATCTTAAACATTCAGTTTGATTAAGTGTATAAAACCACCTGTTGAATTCTATCAAATCTTAAACATTCTGTGTTTTATTACATATATATAACCACCTGTTGAATTCTATCAAGTTTTAAACATTCTGTGTTCGATTACGTGTCTTGATAGAATTCAACAGGTGGTTATATACACTTAATCAAACCCAGAATGTTTAAGACGATAGAATTCAACAGGTGGTTATACACAAGTAATCGAACCCAGAATGTTTAAGACTTGATAGAATTCAACAGGTGGTTATATACACGTAATCGAACACAGAATGTTTAAGACTTGATAGAATTCAACAGGTAATTTTTTATTAAAAAAAACATATCGCACAATGTTTTTCTGGTTGAATGTTTATTTTTTACTTCTATGGTGTTAGTGTATTTCTCATATTCGTGCTGTTGAACATTTATTTGAATATTGAACACGCACCAAAGTTTGGTAAATTCTAATACAGTGGTTCCGAAACGTTTTTGTTTGGGGGTGGTATTCGTTGGACCACATTGTAACAGTATAATTTAACAACGCAAAAGAAGCGCACAAAAATCACTATATAATTAGTATTAACTATAAACTTATCTTTCTACGTTTTAATACAATAGGTGCGCCTGATTTTTGTGAGAAAAGTTCTGTAATATTGGGTGTAATGTTCGTCAGCTTTAACCTAAGGTCAGGTTCAGTATTCACCCTGTTTCTGTATTTAGGTTTCAGGGTCGCAAGCGTTGAAAATCCTGTGTCATACAAGTACATACCAGCAAAGTGCTTTGTCTGCAAGTTCTTGACACTCTCCAGTTAGCAGAATCCAAAACCATCAGAGTGAAGTTGTTCTAAACTCTGACCTTAACTGTTTTGTCGCAAAAAAACTCCACCAAGGGCTCTTCTTCAGGTCATTATTTTACAATACAAGAACACTCCCAAGTAAAGAATACATTTTCCCACTTCCACCCAAAATCCATTTAACGTAAGTTTGATACTTTACACTTTATTTAGATATATATATTCTTCGTATTTATTTAACTGCATTTTTAAGGTCTCAAGTTTCGGGTTTGCTCCGGAATCTACAAACTCTTCCTATTCATAATTATGAAACCTTTATTTTTACCAGAGTTTCTGAACCTCTGTTATAATGTGCTAAGATCTGGATAAAATATGAGTATTTACATACCATTTAAATAACGCTGGTGGGCCAAGTTTTGATACATGTACAACATGAAAATCGCCTGGGTTGTTCATTCTGCTGTTCAAATATTTCATGAATGAGCAGTATTAGTTTCATGATTACGAAAGACAAATAAATTATACTGGAATGGATGCTGGCACAATGTATTAAAAAATGAAACATAATATAAAAATACAAAATAATTATAATCTGATAAAATGGCCAAATGAGTTAGAAAACTGCTTGGTGTTTATGGCTGACGTGTAATTGATACGTTAACATTTCCTTAAGTTACAATAAGCAATAATAGTAAAAAATGAGTTTAAAACACATATATTTGAATATACCAATGTCTAGAACTTTCGTTTCGTTTCTTTTATAACAAATTAGTCAGTTTAGTAGATAGAAATGTATAAACGTTAACAAATTTAGTAATGCAGTAAGATACAAGCTTCAAGAGTTTAAAATAAAGTTCTAGCGTCCGTTAAAAATATTTCGCGCTTCTTCCTCATTTGGTTTGTCAATTATACTTCGAGTTATTTTTCCACGTAATTTAGGGCGCTTACTTTATTTTTGGAAGTGTTCAGTAGGACGAAACGAAAGCCTGTTGCGTAGAGATGAGAAAACTCTTGTGATTGGGCAAATGTTAAATCACGTGCTAACATCTCAATCTAACCCATCCTTTTTCGTACGTTATTCTGCACTGGTCGCAGTAAAAATCTCGAAAGGAAATATTCAGATCCCACAATTATCTGATGAAAATGGCTTACCAAGGACCAGTTTATGGCCTCAGTCGAGAGTGTCAAATAAAGGTAAAGTACTTGCTGATCGAGATAAATAAATAAAAATTCAGAGAAATGCAACCTGTTAGCCTAGACCTAACCTACTTTTTTTTTTTTAGTACTTAATTTTGAGAGTAATGACTAACCAGTAAGATTCAGGAAGTTAAACTAAAGTTTGTCTCGTCTACGTACGGAATTGTTTATACAAATTATATTTATAAGTTATAGTTATAACACATGTATTAAAACAGACTCAGGATAATCTGTAATAACGAAACTAAATGTTTCAAGTATTGACGGTCTCTTTGTTGTTAAATAAAGTTTTGGCTGTTTTTAATGAAAAAACAACAAACAAACAAACTTGAAGCCTTATCAGTATCATCCTAAGCCCTGAATTATATTTCTAATAAACGTAATATTGGTTACTGATAATAATAATTATTATTAATATCACCAGTCACTGAAGTTGAAAATATCGCCCTATTTGAAAAAACATCTATTTTGGATAGTCATATTTAAAAGAGAATTTTATTTTAAATTTGAATTTAAAAAACGCTATTATTCTTTTCAAAGAAAACTATTTCGAAAAGAACGGTTTAGGGCCTTGGCTACAGTGGTTTTAAATAGTGTTAATTTTAGGGAAATTTTCCAAGACTTGTTTCATTCTTACACTTTACAGGAAAATATAAAGGAAATACAACAACCTTACAGGTTATTATTTTTGAAGTGTTAAAGACCATCAGCTGTGCTGTACCTGTTGCTTTGATCCTTCAGTTACATGATCAGGTTTATATGTAAATTACTTAGACCCCCCTACTTTGCATCAGAAAATAGCAAAGAAACTTGAAAAAAAGAAAGATTCTAGTTAGCTATTGTAACTACACCCTACAGATTGAATTATTACTTAGATATTTTTTTTATAATGTATGTTTAAACTAATGTATTTCTTTTTCATATTTTAAACAAAAAAATTAAATTAGTTAATAGGTTGAATTATAAAAATTTTGCATTATATACAAAAAAATATAAAACTTTATAAATTAATGAGATTTACTAATTTTTCTTGTATGTATAAAAACCAAAACAGTACTTCTATGTGTTTAACGACCAAAAGCAGAAGTTCTTTGTTTAATGACTAAAGCAGAACTTTTGTGTTTAATTACTAAAGTAGAACTTTTGTGTTTAATTACCAAAGCAGAACTTTTGTGTTTAATTACTAAAGCAGAACTTCTCTATGTGTAATGATCAAAGCAGAATTTCTCTGTGTTTAATGACCAAAACAGAACTTCTGTGTTTGATTACTAAAGCAGAACTACTTCTGTGTTTAATGATCAAAACAGAATTTCTCTGTGTTTAATGACCAAAACAGAACTTCTGTGTTTAACGAGTAAAGCAGAACTTCTGTGTTTGATTACTAAAGCAGAACTACTTCTGTGTTTAATGACCAAAGCAGAATTTCTCTGTGTTTAATGACCAAAACAGAACTTCTGTGTTTAATGAGTAAAGCAGAACTTCTGTGTTCAATTACTAAAGCAGAACTTCTCTGTGTTTAATGACCAAAACAAAATTTCTCTGTATAATTATTAAAGCAGAACTTCCCTGTGTTCAATGATCAAAGCAGAATTTCTCTGTGTTTAATGACCAAAACAGAACTTCTGTGTTTAACGACTAAAGCAGAACTTCTGTGTTTAATGACTAAAGCAGAACTTCTGTGTTTAATTACTAAAGCAGAACTTCTCTGTGTTTAATGACCAAAACAAAATTTCTCTGTGTTTAATGACCAAAGCAGAATTTCTCTGTGTTTAATGACCAAAGCAGAATTTCTCTGTGTTTAATGACCAAAGCAGAACTTACCTGTGTTTAATGACCAAAGCAGAACTTACCTGTGTTTAATGATGAAAACAGAACAATACTTTTAAAGACCAAAACAGCTTCTCTGTGTTTAAAAACTAAGAAATTTTACACCTGTAAGATTAGATGATTTTTGTGTTATAGGAACATACCATAAGTTTCTTATTAATATTTGTTCTGCGTATGTGTAGGTTTCACATAACGTGGTTAAGAAAACCATGATGTTAATTTCGTTAAAGTTATTTTTGTTCCATAGTACTTGTTACTACTCATGGAGAACACTGCTTATAGTGACCTTGTTTCAGGTTACTGAGGACAATGTCCTTCAGTGGTTGTATGAGTAACATTTAGAGGTTTTGGACCATCTTAAGTGAAATGAGAATGACCAGCCACGTGGCAGCATAGTCATGTGTGGTAAATGGGTGTTTTCATTTTTAGTACAAACCTTCCATTTAGTCAATTCTACTAAGTCTTATTACAAGTTTCATCTAAACCTCACCTTGCAGAGAAGTGAACGTCCATAGTGAAGCAAATATTTGTAGTTTTTTTTTTGTTTGAGTTTAATAAAGATTGTTTCCAATGTGATGCAGTTTGAGGGTTGCCATGGAGTTATGGTATCTTGTGATTCTGAGACCACTTTGTGGAGGGAGTGGAAACTCTGTACCAGACTCCCAGACCTTGCCAGCCACAGTACAGGACTGGAAGTACCATTAATGGACACTGTGTCAACTGGAGCTCTTTTGCCAGATGGTGGATGATGAGTGGATTGTGGGACAATATGAGTTAGGAGACATACTTATGACATCAAAGTAATCCATGAAGGAGTTTGGGGTCTGATAGAGGACAGAAATGAGTTGCTGCATGTGCATCACACTCTTTCTCTCAAATTCAGGAGGCCATTGGGACACTGGGGTAACAGAATACTCCTACCACACTGTGAACCTTGCAATCAGGTGATGATCAGAGGTCATTAAGTAGGCTTTTTGGTCATGCTCACTGTTCTCCATGAGTGAGAATAAACAAATCACTCCTCCAACCTTTAAAGGCTTGGCAAAGGAAGAGTTGGAACTGATTTTTGAAACTCTTCAGGCAGGTAATTGCTTGAAACAGCTGGACTCCTGAGCAGGTGGTTTAACACCTGTTATTGAGTCTGGATGAAGTATTTGTCAATAAAAAGCAACTTCTGAACTATGAGACCATTATTACCAAGTTTTACAGAAGGTTTGACATGGTGTAGAACAGTGCAATCCATTGAAATCTTGTCTACTTATGTGGATGACCTGCACCATTTGCTATAATGCCTCTACAGATCGCATAGACATCCTTGCTGACAAGTTCATGGAATGGATGCCAAATGAATCCTGGGTGTGAGAGACCTTATCTCACTAATATAAGTCATTTCTGTTATGAGGTAATTCAAAGTGGTAACTTCAATTCACTTGTAGGAATGAAGAAGTATGTAGCAGTAATTGCAGTGACTTTGATCCCAACAGACTGATCTTGCCAGGAGTTTGTGTCACATAATGGTCAAAAACAGCCATGGCTCAGCCAGTCACCTGTGCATAATGGAATTGTGATGCAGCCACACTGGGTTCTAGTGGATAAGAAAAGACAGACTTGAAACTGAAACCCAGAAAATGTGTACAATAGTAGAATTTCTTGGTCATATTGTGAGTAGAGGAGAAATCTCTATAAATCTTTCTAAAATAGCAGCATTGCAAGATTGACCTCAGATTGTGAAAAGTGACAAGTCTGCAGTTACCTTGGTTTCACATTATATTACTGATGGTTTGTGGCCAACTTCTCTGAAGTTGACTTTTACAAAAGCTGAAATGCATTTCAAATGGAGTGAAGAGTACAAGCAAGCATTTCAGTCAATGAAATGTGCTTTCATAGAAGATCCAGTGCTGGCATATCCACAACAGGGATGTAATTTCCTGCTGGACACTGGCACCAGCAACAGTAGAATTGGAACAGTGTTACAGTTGCAGGATGGAGTGGAAAGTGATCCTGTACACTAGTCATTAGCTTGCAGGTCAGGAATGCAGATGCTGCATGACAAAGATAGAACTGCTTGCAGTTGTTGTCTTTATGAAGCACTTCCGACACTACTTGTTTGACCTTGTTTCATGACAGTGAGGGCAATGTCTTTCAGTGGTTATATATGGGCATGTCTAGAAGTTTTGGCCCCATCTGTGTGAAATAAAGATGACCAGTTATACTAGCTAAATTTGAGGTTTTGTTTTCAGTAGCAACCTTTCATTTACTTCTGATCCAGTCTTATTCCAAGTTTCATTTAAACCTGATCTTGGTTTTTAACCTAGTAGAAAAGCAACCATCCATAGTCAAGCAAGTACACAACTGTGAGTTTGTCTTTGTGTTTAAGTGCTATAACTATGTGTCTACTCTGCTTATTCCTTAGCATTAACTCACCCAGTACTTATTCTTCACTGATTAAATTTCCTGTATGGTCAACTTACCTGATACTGCTCTAAAGTATTTTCAGCTCACCTGAGAATGACACAGTATATTAGCAAGTTAAAAAGGTTTAAATCAACTTTTACATTTTAGGTGGTAAAAAACAAATTTATCACAGTTTTTCTTCCAATGTTTGGGTTAGTCTTCAGGGAGTACCAATAAATTATCACACATGGATCTATCTTGTCCCTAGTACATCAATAAGACTGATTTACTGTATGTCTCATAATCAAATATCCACTTCAAAATTTACTGTTCAACAATTTTGTTGGCTCTGTAGCACACTATCTTGGAATGTTGGCAAATTGTGTCTTGTTAGACTATATCGAACTCCTCAAGTGTCTTGTTAGACTATATCAAACTCCTCAAGTGTCTTGTTAGACTATATCTGATATAATCTAACAAGATACTTGAAGAGTTTGATATAATCTAACAAGACACTTGAAGAGTTTCATATAGTCTAACAAGACACTTGAAGAATTTCATATAGTCTAACAAGACACTTGAAGAGTTTGATATAGTCTAACAAGACACTTGAGGAGTTTGATATAATCTAACATGACATTTGAAGAACTCTTCAAGTGTCTTGTTAGACTATATCAAACTCCTTAAGTGTCTTGTTAGACAATATTAAACTCTTCAAGTGTCTTGTTAGACTATATCAAACTCTTCAAGTGTCTTGTTAGATTATATCAAACTCCTCAAGTGTCTTGTTAGACAATATTAAACTCTTCAAGTGTCTTGTTAGTGGATTGCAAGTGACTGTTTTGAGCAGTTGTTTTATAAAGTTGGTTTTGGGTTTAGACAAACATTCATTGTGTTATTTACTGGTATTGTACTTGATGTTCTGATTTTGTTAAATATGGTATGTGGATGGGATATTATCCCATGATGACACAATAAAAGGTTTTTATAACTTATCCATGATGTTATATATTTAGTCCAAAAAGAAGTTTCAACTGGATCAGGCTCTTCAAGCTCTTGATTGGGTAAGGGAAGTAACCAATGAAAAACTAGAACCACCCAATCTAGAGAGAGGCTTTGAGGACCACATGGATTTTGCTGATAGTTTGAAGGATGGAATTGCTCTGTGCAAGTGAGTTATTTTTTCATCATATTACTTTTGTAGTTGAAAACAAAGATACTGTATACAGCAAATTCAGACAAAGAGAAATAAAGGTGCCAATGGTAAGGGTTCCTGAATTATTTCTGTTCTAATTCATAACTTTTTTGAATGACAGTGAAAGATCTTATTATAGATCCATAAAAACTCCTGTTTGTGAAGATTTAAGTTTTTAGTTGGTAAATCTGTGTTTGTTTCTTGCAGGCTTATAAATATACTCATGCCAGGTGCAGTGCCTAAAGTAAATGAAGGGAAAATGCCGTTTAAACAGGTTAGTTGATGCCAGAAATAATCACGTTGTTCCATGCCACATGAAATATGCTTAAGACATAAATGTTTCAGCTTCAAAAAACAGTTTTATTGTCAGCTCTAAGAAAAAAGAAAAATAACTTTAATTTATCTTTTGTAATTTTTCTGAAAACTTGTATATTCAGGCCGTTGTTTAATTCCTAATTTTGAGATACGAGCAAGAACAAATAAAGATTGTAACTTTAATGTACAATGTGTGTGTGTAACAGCTTCAAGAAATAATAATTAAGATTATTCATTTGTTAAATTATTTTTTACCCCTTGTAGGGGCTATGAATTATAATGCCTCTTACTGTAGAAATATTTTTCAAGACTTACAAAATTGATTTTTTATTTTTGTATCAACCAAGTATCAGGTTTTGAATCTGTTGGATTTCAGTAAGAACTGGATTTAGTTGTGGTGAAGTACTATCTATGTAATATTTCATGGCGTCTTAAGAAAAAGAAAATGATGTTTACTCTGGTATTGAAATCTGATGATGTAACGACGTGATACACTGTAGGACAGAGCTGAACATGTATGTAGAATATGTGATTCTTAACTTCCGTGTACTGGATTTCCTCACTGTATAGTTTCTACTGAAATTATGTCGTTAAGCACTCTATTTTGATACTCCTGTTGACTTGTTTTCTTGGTGAAGTAGAACCAAAGCTTATAACTTGTAAGTGATCATCATTATGTATAAATACGTATGTGTCTGTGTTGGAAACAGCTTTTAGTGCGAGTCTTAGAAATATTGTTATTGTTTTTTATAAACAAAATAATTTGCACTTAAGTGAATTTAACTGTTTCAATATCAAACACTATACTGGATTTAAGAGATGCTGGGTTATATAACTTGGTGTTATGATGACAATTACTTTTTTGTTGTTGTTAGAAAGTTGACGTGTAAACAACTTGTCTGTATATTCTTAACTTTTTTTTCTAATATCAAAGTAACATGGAAGAGTAAATTAGTACCTTATATAACCATTAGATGTCACTACCAATCTTGTTGAAATTGTGTTTAAGCAGGATGATGTTTGAGTGTTCTGTTTTACAGAGGATAAAACTGATATAATGATAGCATGGAAAAGTAAGTTCCTTCTATAGATACCAGTGTCATTAATACTTTGTTTCTGATTGTGTTAAAACAATGTTTGGACAATGAGAAATGAAGGACTCTATGAAACATTATTTATATATATATATATATATATA